CACACACACACACACACACACACACACACACACACACACACACACACACACACACACACAGAGTCACTCATATACGAACTCAGCATTCTCCGCAGTCGTTGAATACCACGGTTCCGTTGGGAGCGTTGAGTAGAGTGGAAGGGGGAGGCGTGGGGTCGCAAAAGTGCACAACGGGATAGGAATCATTGGAGGCGTCCACCAGCTCTACGTACACGTCAGCGGACCTACTATCGTTGAGGGCACTGTTTCTCGAGAAGCTGTTGCCGGTGCACACGCTGGTGATGCCCTCCCCATCTGACCAGAAGCGCAGCCCTCCTCCCATTCCCTTGGCCACGTTGTTGAGGAACTGGGAGCTGGAGATGATGCACGAGGCCCTGGAGCAGGACAACCCGCCGCCGCCAGGGCCGTCAGCTCGATTGCCCACGAACTTGCACCGTTCGATTCTCTTCGTTCCCACACGCACATCGACGGCTCCGCCTCTCTCCTTGGCGTAGTTGTTGTGGAACTCGGTGTCCGTGATGCTCCCTCCTCCTTCCAGCGTCGCCGAGAGCGCTCCGCCAGACTGATAGGCGGATGGAGCTCGATTGCCAACGCACAAAGATCCGACTATGGTGAAATGGTACCCGCCGCCTGTGAAGGCTATGGCTCCTCCCACGTTGTCCCGGAAGACGCAGCGATGGATCACCGTGTCCTGATCGCCATCGCTGAAAACAACAGCTCCTTGTCCGGGACTGGACGTCAAGAAGTCCTTCAGCTCCAGATTGGTCAAAGTCAACGCCGAGGTGGTGTTTATGCCGCTGAACCGCTTCCCGCCGCTGACGACTGGGCGCTTCGCCCCCACACCGATGATGGACAGCGGCCTGGAGATGGGGGGCAGCGACTCGGTCAGGACAAGATCGTTGGGCACCTCGATCTTTGCGACAGTAGGGTCTTTGTAAGCGTTGATGAAGTCGGCAGCGGTGTAGGCAAGAGCGCACGGAAGCCGCCCGAAGAACCCGGTGACCATGATGATAGCCATCGTCGTCATCATCAACATCGTCGTCGACACGGTGATCCTCGCCTTCTTTGCCATAGCCAAAGTGCGAGAGAACTGCTCTCGAGCTGCTGCAGCTGGGGTGCTTTCCCGACGAGCTCGCTGACCGTGGAGGCCCCACTGGTCCCCCCCGCTTCCCGCCGCCATAGCCGCCATCGCCGGCCCCCTCACTGACTTTGACCCCCCCTCAAAGAGCCTCTTCCTCCTCAAAAGAGTCAATCAAAAATTTGTCAAGAGAGAAGAAGGTGGGAGGTGGTGTCTTGTCTACGATGAAGTATGCGGCGGCGGTACTTACGTCTGTCTGTCTGTCTGTGAATCGTCAAGTCTCCGCTAATTGGCCTTAAATTGGTTCATCTAGAAGAGCTTCACCTCTCGTCGTAGGGGAACATCGAGGCCAGATTTTCTTGTTTTGTTCCGTGCGGTTTTTTTTTTTGTTTTTTTTGTTTTGTTTTGTTTTGTTTTGTGCAATCCTTTCATCACCCAAGGCAAATGACAAAATTTAATGTTTATTGTACATGGACCAAAGGCAGCGTTTACTTATTTATTTATTTAAATTAGCTCATCTAGACGAGCTTCACCTGCCGTAGGGAACATCCCTGCCTTTTTTTTTTTTTTTTTTTTTTTTTTGGCACCCGGAGGGCCATGTCGTGCTTACACCGTTGAGTTGAGCTAGCTCAACGGTGTGACACAATTGCTGCAAATTTAAAATTCAAAACAAAAAGTGCACAAAAAGAGAATCAAATGCTGCTGAAAGCTTTTTTCCATATTTCCTCAAATGTAAAATGGAGAAAGAAAGTGGGGCAATCTGCTATTCTCCATATTTTTTAGAAAATAAAAGGAGAAAATCACCAGCGTGGATCGAACGTGGACGGTCTTCCTGGCTATGTGCGTTTCATGGCGAATGGACAAGTTGGTGCCAAAGGTGTGATTTCGGCGAAAATACTGTGCACAGCTATGTACGGTGAAAGTACTGTGCATGTATGGTGAAATTACTGCGCACTTATGGTGAAAGTGAAGTACTGTGCACGTACGGTGAAATTTTACTGTGCGCGTATGGTGAAATTACTGTGCACGTATACTAGTGAAAGTACTGTGCACGTACGGTGAACGTACTGTGCAGGTATGGTGAAAAGTACTGTGCACGACACATGTACGTTTACACCAGGCAAATTTTTGACTCTGTGCATGCATGAGGCGAGGTCCGGATCCAGGGCGTTTAGGTGGTGTTTTTTTTTTTTTTTTTTTTTTTTTTTTTTTTTTTAACATCCTGATGTTCCAGCTCCTAGGGGTAAAGAATGATAAGAGCATGTACCCCTGGTAGTTTTTCTTCCTCCAGGTGAATCCTATACTATCTATTGGTGGGGAGCAGCACCTCCTGCAAACCGGGTCCAGCCAGCAACCCTTAACAACATCCAAGATTTTTGAAATGAGGAACAGTTTCGAAAATTTTGAGGAGAAAAAAACTAAAAAAATTGAGGAGCGTACGAATCCTCCCCCTGCCTGCATTGATTACCCTGGATGCTATAATGACTGGGGGGATTGACTGGGCACGGCAAAGAAGCAGACCCCGGGGGAAAGCAGCTGCCTTGGCCCAAGGGGGGGCATCGGGACCCTTGCAACTGTTGCCCCCCTCCCCTCCCCCTTTCTCGTTAAGTGTGATGCTGGGATGAGACTCTGGATCCTTGCAACAGTCCAGGTCAATGCATAACTGACGCAGGATGAGCGGGCGGGTGATCCAGGATCGTACATACACGCACTCTCTGGTCCGGGGATGGTCCACATCCCAGGACCCAGGTCCAGGGCCAATCCTGGATCATGCAACTGGTCCTGGATTAGCAGCTGATCCAGGATCGTCCCTGTGCATCCCCGGAACGGTCCTGGTCCATCAGGAACTGAGGCAGGATCAGCAGAGGATCCAGAACCGTACATGAGCCCTCGGCCGGCCGTGCAAGCAGCAGAGAGAGAGAGAGAGAGAGAGAGAGAGAGAGAGAGAGAGAGAGAGAGAGCTTCTACGTGGCAGCGTTGGGGAGAGGGGTTGGGGGTTGTAGGGACACTCGATTAACCGAGGGTCAAACATTCGCCGGCAGTTTCAGTGCAAAATTCAAAGAAATTTAAAAAACAAAGTACATGCATTGGGCTCATAGTGCAAACATCAACAAAACAAACAGGCCAAAGCAAACCTTAGAACAAAAAACACACTATAGAACCCTAGCACAAAAACACCTTCCCAGTAAAAATGAAGCATCCAACAGATCCAACGAAATGCCAACTTTTTCATTATCCATCCAAACATGTCAAGTGAGGGGCCTTAGACTCTTAGTCCTCGCCATCCGTGGCCCCCCACAGCTCGCGCATTTCTCAAAAACGGGTCAGATGGAGGGAAATGGGGTAGAACGGGGTTAGAGCGGGGGGAAGGGGGGGGTAGAGTGGCGCTCTAACGGCGCCCTACCCCGCTCTACCCGTACCCGGTTCTACTGGTCTTTCCCCTGTTCCTAGATTGGGGCGTTCCAGACGCAACGTCTACCAAGGTGATGAAGATGGCGTCCACCATATCCAGGTGAGTACCCCTGGCACTCCCCTCTCCCAATCCCCTTCTTCCTCCTCCTCCTACCGTTCACCATAGCCAAGGTGGAGGGCTGCGATTTTGTTAAAACGGACATTTTATATTTTTTGAACAAAATTGAATTCCACTTATTTGACCCTGGAAATGTCACCTTTTTAGCTCCTTATACCGCAAGAAGTTGGGACACAGAAAATCTGCAAACCAGGGGATCTGTTCGAGGATGCTTTCGGCCCCGAACCAATGAAAATCGAAACCATCCCCGGGGCACCCCCACCACCCAAGGTGGAGATGACCGAAGCCCGGGAGCATGACACGCCCCAGACTGCACAAACAGCACAGACAGAAGCACAAGAAGCTAGTAATGCGCGAGGGATGGCTTTGCAGGATGTGGCGGAGTGGTTGATGGAAAACCTCCGCCTGAAGTTCCAGGACAGAGACGAGGAAGCCTGGGTCACAGTGTACAGAGACGTGGTGTCCCTGTTGGAGAACAGCCCAAGCCTCCACATAGCTCTGACCCAAGGCCTGCCGAAAGGGTCAAGCTGGACAGAGATCTGTCACAAACTGTTACGTATCGTTCGTGCCCAGTTCAGCCCCCCCCCCATCCTTGAACAGGTTCCGGAAGGAAAGGACGGCCACACACGCAATGACACCCAGGGAGGTACGAGCCAAAACGCAACTCAACAGAGCAATAACACAGGAAAGGACGGCTCTCAATCAGGCGAGCGGGGTCACACAACAGCCGGTGACAGGACAGGTCAGCAAGACACTCGGGAGGCAACTCACCGAGACCCCTCTCACTCTGACACGGTCCGCGAGGATACACAGAGCCCTGCACAGCCCGGCAGCGAGAGAAGAAAAGAGGGAACTCAGCCAGGTGAGCGTGACCAGGGCACACAACCAGGTGAGTGTGACCACATAGTATCAGGCGAACAGACTGACAGGCCCCCTAATATCTCGTTGCCCGGCACCGGTGCGGCAAAGGAAGTCGCACATTCAAAAAGGCGACAGCACCTAACCACTGCGGATCAGACGAACCAACCCGGGCCAGCAAGGGAACACCATCATAACCACCTGAAGGAGCGCCCGTTGGAAGGGCGGGACAGCGGGGACGCCAATCAGACCCAGATCCACCCCACTCAGACCCAGGTCACAGAGCCGGAAGAGGGTCTGTGTCTGGCATTGCCGGCCTGGGGGTCTGCTACACCAACATTACATCTTGATCCCCCCGACCCCCCTACCCCCCCGAATCCCCTGGGGTCCACTCTCACCAGAGGAGACAAAAAATGCGCCATCTGCTAGAGAAGGCTCCCCCCACCCTGACCTGCAATAAGGGCATTGTGCTCCTTCCGGTCAGACAAACACACGGGGAATGGGAGCTGGGGCTGTCCATCCCCCCCGACGCAGCACATGGTGAGGTATCCCTCCAGGGATGTCAGCCTTCTTCCTCTCGCTAACTTCCTGGGCCGACAGTCTGAGCTTCCGTAAACAGGACATCTCCCGACTGACTCAGGGCCTCCTCCCGGAGGGTGCTACCTTGGCTCTGGTAATCTCCCGCGGGTGGGATAGACTTGGAACTAGGGACATCTACCTGCAGTATGACCAGCCCAACAAGAAGGACCTGCGCTGGCTTGACAAGGAGGCCCTTTTGGACCTCCAAATTTTAAAAATAAAACCCGGCGATCTCTGGTCATCAACAGAGGTAGTCCTTTCTGGTGAGTATACCCAGGACGCAAGTACTGCAAAAAGGCAGCTTCCTGGACACAGCAAAGTGGCTGCCCTTACAAAAAAAAAAAAAAAAAAAAAAAAAACACCACAGGACATACACCCACACATTTCACATTCGGTTAAGGAATTTAGAACAATAAAAGATGAATGTGGTGGACGCGCTCTATGGCAGGGACAAGGTCTGGAATCTCTGTAAACGGCAAGCGGATCTCGACTTGCGCTCAATCAATGTGAACGGCCTGGCCTCACCAAAAACCTTCAAAAGACAGGCCATAGTGGATCAATTAAGAGGTGTGGAAGGAAGGCTATGGCCGGACGTTGTATGCTTACAAGAAACTCACTTGATGGACAGCCCCGACCACAACCATACACACAAGGAGATTTGGCCTCATCAGGCCTTCCGTGCCCACGCCCCGCGCCTTGGCAGCTGTGGAGTCGCCATATGGATCCCCCTGGGATCCAAAGTAGAGATGCTTAACTGGGCAGCGGACCAAAACGAGGGGAGATGGGTCTACCTATTTGCCATGTTGGAATTAGAAGTGGTAAGTATTCTGAACATATACGCACCTAATGACACGTCGGAGAGGCGGACCTTCCTGGAATCCTTAAAGGATAAGCTGCGGGTGGGCATCCCCACAATCCTGGTGGGGGACTTCAACGCAGCCTCGGACAGGTGGATAGACAGATGGAAGACCCTGTCCCCCTGCCCGGTCTACATGGAGGAAGACGAGAGCATGATCGCTTATCTCTCTCAATCCCTCAATCTTTTTGATACCTTCCGGAGGAGTCACCCAACTGCACGCCGTTTCACATGCTACCGAAAGAGTGCGACAGAGGGTGCATCGAAATCACGCATAGACCTGATCCTATCATCCAAGGACCTACAAAGGGGACTGCAGGCAGCTGAGATCTTCCCCAGAAGCCCCCACCCGGGCTTAGACCATGCTATGTGTCTCGTCGTCTTCTTTTTTAGAAAGAGACCCGATCAAGGCAGGGGCTTTTATAAGCTCAATACATCCCTCCTATCCCACGAT